GGAAATGTTGAGTCGGATTAGTCTAGAATCGATTAATTTTATGGAAGAAAACCTTTCAATCAGCCGTAGTCCGTAAACTTCACACGTGTCGGGCTGTGATTGGAAGGACTCGTAAGAAATCGGATTCCTAAAGAATGGAACGTATCTATGATCTTATAGGGGGGTCGACTGTATATAATTTATATATATTATATATAATAATATATATATATATACACTTAATATATATATATATATATATTAAGTTGGACAGATTGACTATTTGGCATGGCGTAGCTTGGCTTATGTGGCTCTTGCTTCATAAAACACTAACCAACCAACCTGAAGTGTTTATATCACAGCGACATGGTGGGTTGGTGCAGAGAGAGGTGGCTGCCACCAGCAAGAACTGGTGTTTGAGTCTTAGCCCAGGTAAGGTAATAATAATAAATAGATGTATTTACAGGCAACAAATGGCAACTTCAGACAAATTCTGGTGGGAGGCAAGACATGCAGACTGTATGAAAGGGGTAGATGGCAGTGGCACTGAAGGCAAAGTGGAGAGGCGTGCGACCAGAGAGCTATGAAAGTGGAGCATGCATTTTTTTATGGTAGGCATTCCCTGACTTTTCAAGATTCTGCCCATGAATTTTTCAGGACCCCTTTTCCATGCGGTGTCAAGTTATAGAAAATGACATAGGCAATTTTTTACAGGGCTATGTCTCGTGAAGGATTGCATGTAGGGATATGGTTACTTTGACTTTTGTGTTCACTGAAGAGAGTTTGTTAACCCCATCATTCAGAGCTTGAATTGTGCCTACTTTAGCCTTAAATTCCTATACTCTACTACAGGCAGCTAGGTCTAGATTTAAGATTAGTATGCTACAAAATTTAGGAGCACAGCAAAGACATGTCTTCACACTATGAAAGATGAACACTAACTCTGTTCAGTCACGTTCATTGCAATATGCTGTCACGCATCCTCGTGTAGAATGAACACACAACGTTGCAGGACGTGCTTGTGCATTTTCTGCCAAACACTTTGTAGGAACTTTCGGTAAACCTTTCTGGTGACAGTTGTGCTCACTGGAATTAACTTTGTAAAGATGACACCCTCATGGTGGTAGGGTGTAATTCTGCTTCTGCTTCTGCTCCAATTTCAACTGAGACCTGCAAAACTTTTTCAATCGAGGTGAACCTTCCACTAGCTATTTGCTGCTTTTCGATCTCAGTTCTGGCTCAAAGTCCCTATCCCAGTACTTGCCAATGTCAGTAATGCATTCGATGAACTTTGACCCCAAGACATTGAATTTCCAAGTCCATCGAAGTTTCCAAGTGACGAATGTTTCTGTTCTGATGTGTGTTGATGTGGCACCCACCTTGCAGAGATCACCGGTTTTTTGAAGTTGAGTGTGAAGATTTGATGTGCCAGAAAATGTGATATTCTTACTTCTGCAGCAATTTTGTTGCTTCATGTGCGACGTCTTCTCCAAGCAGTTCTGAAACATGAGCCACAGTTGCTTCATCAGTCACAGTTTTTGGTCAATCGAGATGCTTCGGTGGCCATGATGAAAATGGTCTGCCGAGCATGACATTGTGCTTCGATTGATGGTATCACTTCCACACACCTCTACTAATGCTATGTGAATGTCTGGTTGTAACATAACATAATTCGATTTTCATATAGGCCTGCTGATCTTCACATGTGATAGTACTGTACCCGAGTGTTCTGTGGATACCGTGTCACTCATCTGCTCAGCACTTGTTTACTGCAGTCTGTCATGCCAGAAAAGCCATGTAGAATTCTTCTGTACATAGTTTAGTTGTCTAGTATTAGTTTAGTTTTAGATTCTAGTTTAAAAAAAACAAAAAAAATTCCCATTTATATGTATCGGGTCCTCACGTACCATGTAATCTGTATTATTTTATCATAGTAAGCTAATATTTTCATTCTCTCTGCGTGTTAAAATTGTAATCTGTTCATAACGTTATTGTGACATTGCAGTGTTCAAGGTTAGTTTATACCTACCCATAACTAATGGGTTTTGCATTTTACTGTAACCGGACCATTCCTTGTAATTGTTAATACTGTATAACGGTCTTGTCAACTTTTGTAATTTTAGTTATTAATAATTTCTGATGCAGCACTCTGAGGTCCTAATAACTTTTTTCAGCGTTACTTTCTCCCTTTTCCTTTATACTTCTCCCTTTAGAACCCTTCCTTCAATCTTTTTTTCACTTCTTTCTCTTCGTAATGGGCTAAGTTTGCAAAAGCAGACAGCCTTTCCTTCTACTTTATTATTATTATTATTAGTTTGTCATGCCAGATCTTGTCTGTTTCTTACGTCTGTGAGAATGCATATGCAAGCATTCAACATGATTGCATCTACCATGCAGAAAAGTTGCCAGATTGTACAAGACTTGCTATCCATGTACAGTAGATCCCCCTATAAGACGGTAGATACGTTCCGTTCTTTATGAATCAATTTTGTAGGAATCATAGTTTACAGACTACGGCTGTTTGAAAGGTTTTCTTTCATAAAATTAATCGATTCTAGACTAATTCGACTCAACATTTCCAAAATACGTATATTTTTTTAAAAATAATCCGTATAAACTACGTTATAAACAAAAAATTGTAGGATTGCTTACCGAGTGTGTACCGTTCGACTACGCCCGTTGCTAAAGCTTGGTTTCGTCGCGGAACAGCGCATCAAACCGCGGCCGCGATTTCTGATATTATTTTTCTGCGAAAACTTCGTTGACCTTTGGAGACATCCTTAATATAAATAATTTTTATGGCCGTTAAATAAGAAATGTTTCTTTCACAAGAAATGTATAAAATTACAGTACTGGACAGACGATAGGTCGCCTAACTCGCCGTAGCGTGACGCTAGACGGCGAAAAATATATATTTAATTATAATAAAGTTACAATAAATTAAGTTAATATATAATTATATATACAGTACCTAATTTATATATAATTAATATATAATTATATGTACAGTACCTAATTTATATATTAATTATATGAACAGACGATACTAAACTCAATTTATCCGCCTAAACGTCCGTAGCGTGGCGCTACGGACGGCGGAAAAGTAGTTCGGTTGCCCGATGACGTTTTACGTATTATAGGAGTTATTTTTACCGTTGTTTACGGATACTGCCACAATTTTTATAGGAATCATAACTATAGGAAACGGTTTTATAGGGGTATCTACTGTATTTTTTATTAAAATTTTTGTTTTGAGTTAAACGACAGCAATCATCAAAAGTTTTTATTTTCAACTTAAATTTATTCATAATTTATATATATAAATTATCTAATACAAATTAAATGATTATTCATCCAAATATATTACTGATTGTATTAAATATTTTTCTTACAACATTTGATTTTTATTTTATTAATGCAGTTTCTCAGAAATAGCATAGAATTTGTAAAAATTATAACTTTCAAACAATTATATATAATTTATAACGGCACAAAATCCAATTTTTCCACAACGTTCAATTCTATAAATTGTCTAAAGTAGCCTACTGACTGAAACATATTTTGATCACCAAGAGTCAACTTGCTTCCAGATGTAACTCCAATTTGAATCTTTTTCCCAGCATCATTTTTATATATTAGAGGACCTCCTGAATCACCCTAAGTTCAAAATGTTCACTTTTATAGAAAATATTTTTAATATAAATATTGTACATTTTCATTCTATGGATGTTTCATGTGTATATACTTACATACATGAGAGCAACTCCTTCTTTGGCTGCAATAATTCTGGAATCATCATTTGGTACACCGTTAACAATCATCGTTGATGCATCGATTATATCTAATTCTGCAGCTCTAAGACAGTATTCATAGTCTGAGTACTTTAGTTCTAAATTTAAAATATATTATTAAAACAGTTAACTCATGATAAGATTATATTACTATGTTACTAAAATTATCTAAAATTATATACACTACATATAAACTACATTCAAATTATAGGCATTATACTAATTTATGAAGTAAGTAACAGAATGATTTCTAGCATCTTTCGACATATCATGATAATATATACATATACAGTTTCAAATTATAAGTATTTACTGTATTGATGAAAGTGACAATATATTAAGAAGTATCCTCAATATTGATGAGAAAGATCGAAGGCGCACTAACAGCACGCCTATCACCAATATCTGACATTGAACAAAGTGAACTTTTTTAAACGACTATCCTGAAAAATAACATGACAATCAAATAAATTAAGGATATCATTTTATTAATTAAACGATCTCCAGCTGAGCTGACTTTTAAACAATGTATTTTACAGAATTATTTTAGGAAAGTTATTAAGTTAAATAAAGGAAATATGTGATTTCTTTTAATAGTCTAGCAATGCCATTTATACCAGTCATTTGTTCATCACATGAAAAGATGGTCTATTTTCAGATTCCGTATTTAATCGAATATAAGAAAACCTAACACATAGGACGAGGTGCGACTTTAAAGATCAAAATAAAGAAAATTAGATTTATTAATACAAACCTGATTTTATTTTGTTTAATCACAAATAAAATATCAAATTCTTGTAAATGCACACATTGTCCAGCAAAAATTACTGGCGTTTTAAACTTTAAAATTAAGGAAAAATCTTGTAAAATCAACGACATAATTTGTTCACGTATAGCTGGACAATCGGGAACTTTTTTTGCCAATTTTTAACAGTTGAATTCACTCTTCATCGATTACACTTAAGAGTATCTGTTTTCACATGGACATGAAATACAGTAAAACTTATATTGCGCTCCCGTGTAATTTTGGAATTCAATTCAAAAGCTTTGCTTTTCCTATTGATATTCATCTTTACTTCTGACAATACAGAAAAACATTTCAAACGATCCAGATAAATTACTTTTGTATTCAAACACCAGTAGGTGAGAATCCGGTAAAAACACGAATACACAGTTTACAAAAATTATTGAAAAAACGTTAAAAACTTTTCGCTCACGCGTATAGGACGACTAGGTTTTTGAAGCAGTGAAATATGAATAAAAACCTTGTCTTATATGCGAATAAATACGGTAATTGAATGTTTTTCGAAAAATAATGTTAGATTTTTAGTTCGTAGTTTCTTATCTGAATAAAAAACACAGTTAAAGTACTGTATAGAATTTCTACATACAAAAAAATGTAAATACAAATGGATTAAATTCGTTTAGAAGATATCTTAAAAGTCAGTAATTCGTCTGAAATCCTATTTTATTGAATTTCAGAAGAATTAGTGAAATTTACTGAAACGTTGGATAGTCGAAACAAAATTTTCGTATTTATTCTTAGAGCAATAAATTGGATATTGAAATTATATGTTCTTAATTACAAGATAGGGTAATAATATTCATAATTGTGAGAATTATCGTTTATAAGGATGACTAAATTGATAATATATGCAAATTACACGAAAAAAGCTAAACGTCGATTAAAGCCAATATTAAAGTAAAGTAGGTAATCTGGGAGTCAGACAATTCTAAGAGTATTTCATTATTATGTATAACAACGTATTTATATTTTAATTTCAGTTCGTGCATTGGTTATATACTTAAGGATTTTTGTATGAATTTAAAATAAAGACTACACTTTCTGTCACAAAATCAACATATTGTGGAGGGATTCCAATTGTGTAATATTTTTGGTCTAGGATAAGCACGGGAATTTATAGTTAACTTTATAATGCATAATTAGGATTTGGTACTAGTTGAGTTGGCGGAAACCTGTGAATGGCGTGTTTCATATTGGAGGACGATTAGATTAACTAGAAAACAATTTATTGAAATTAATTAACATTAACGGTGGACTGAAATACTGGAGGTATATTTAATTTATACAATTATAAAATTGCAAATTTGAATGTCTGAATGCTTTCATAAATTTATAGAAGTTAGACATCAACCGAATTAGGAAATAGCGTTTGTGTTTTATTATTTTGTTTCATATTGAACCTTAATTAATATGGAATTGTTTTTGTTTTCCTACATGTTTACATTACAAAAGTTAATATGTCAAACTATAATGACTTGGTGTTCATGATTGCATCAATGCTCACATAGATCAAAATAAAAATAAGATTTTTACACAAAGAAAAAAATCACATTTTCGATTTTATCTAATGATCTAATACTAATCTAATGATATGAAAGGAAATCATCGACTGCACTGTGATAAGCCAAAAATTGATTATATGCCAAGTGAGATTGCCAAGTGAAATGCCTCCTGGCAGTTCGTGTATTGAATAGTGGCTGTTATTTACATGTTAGACACGTGAAAAAACCCGAAAACTTCCACTCAACTATCCCGTTGTTCAGAAGCAAACATACAACTAAATATCAGTGTTCAGTGGTTTAAATCATTTGACAGAAATGTTAGTTTTCAAAATCTTAAATGTAATGGTTTGATAAAAAGAAAGCTTACTGGCCATTTATACGAAGATATTTCAAGTAAAATTACATTTGGTTTGAAAATGGGTATCTTATTACTTAGTATCTTGTTTCATTTTGTCAAGATATCATCAACAGTAAGTTCTTTCAGTAAATTAAAAATGTATGAAATTTAATGTGCGAGATGATTTATCTTTAACTAGTTAATTTTTCCTGTTGCTGCTTCAATTGCAATTAAAGTTTTGCAGATGAGAAAAGTCAGAAAGATTGAAATTTTAGTTCGGTGGATATTGGACGATATTCGTATCATTTATCTGTTAATCCAAATTATCAAAATACTGATTGAAAATCTGATGAAATTGTTGTTTTTGTAATTTCTTTATGATTTTGTATTGTGTTTGTCACTTTGTTACTTTATTCTTAAACAAATAATTTTTATTTGTTTATAAGTTTTGTAGACGCTTTTAGAACGTTATGTGAATATTAAATTATTTTACCATGAAAGGAACTTTTAGTATATCTATCTGTAACATTTCGTAACATTTAAAATATTTTAAAATTTGCCATTAAATAATTTTGTGTAAATTTAGTTTTTATTACGAATGCATAGGGGCTAGGGCCTGATTATTGGAACTCTGTTTTTCTTAAAGGACTACAATTTCTACTTATCCATTGTTACCAATATTTCGTCCGGAAGCGGTCGAGTGGATAAGTTTACTAACACTGATAGTCGTGAGTTCGCACATCACCAGCAGACTGGCCACGAGATTTTTTCTGCGTTCACCTAACGCCTAAATACTGAACACATTTCAATAGAATGTCACCTCGAGGAGGCATTCCCTCCGGCAGATTGCCCAATTTTCGCATTTCATATGCACACAAAGAAATGAACATTTGTTTGTTTGCATACGAACAACTTATATCATTCTGCCAATTGACACTCCCATCTCAGTTGCATTCTTGAGAGACCGTTGGGTTTTCGCGATTCAAAATATTATGTTCAATGGTTGTTGTACTTACCAACGTCGCCCCATCCGACGGCAATTGCAGTTTTTGAATAAAGCGTTTTATCTTGAAGTGGTATAGCGATCGGTACCGGTTCTGGTTGAGTTAGACATAAGTCAGCAATATCATTTTCTAATATTATCAGAGCAATATCATTTCTCATTTTCTCTTCATCAAATTCTGGATGTTCAATTATCTTTGAAAACTGTATTATTTTTCCCGTATACATGTTAGCACTTCCTATTCTTCCAAACAGAGCACCAACTGGAATTCTGTAATATATGAAAATTACAAATAAGGACAGAGGGGAAAAAATGGACTTCAAGATTAAATTTTATGATTCTAGGATGTTCAATAAGTAATGCACATAGGTCTTTTTCTTACTCAAGATTTATTTTTTTGCAAATACAAATATACCACATTATTCCCCAATTAATTGGCTGCAAGTACCCTTATTCCACATAGTCTCCATTTAAATCTACGGCTTTATGCCACCTAGATGCCAGACCATGTATGCCAGTTCGGTACTACTCGGTCTCTCTCTCAGCCACTTCCTGATGTCTTCTGTGATTCTCTCATCGTTGTCATATTGCTTTCCTCTGATGGCATTTTTTAGGGGGCCAAACAAATGGAAGTCAGAAGATGCAAGATCCGGGCTGTAGGGGGGTAAAGAGATAGTCCATCCAAGATTTGTGATCTTTTGATGTGTGCAGGCTAGTGTGTGACCTCGTGTTATCGTGTTGAAGGAGAATTTAGTTAACATTTTTATGGGGGTGAACACGCCTAAATCGTCTCTTCAACTTCTTCAAAGTGTTGATATAAACCCCTGAGTTTATTGTTTCACTGGGTGGAAATGTGTCAATCAGAATCACACCTTCAGAATTTCAGAACACTGTGGCCATAATCTTACCAGCTGAGGGTCCTGATTTGAACCTTTTCTTTCTAGAGGAATTTTTGTGAAGCCAATCCATGGATTGTCGTTTGGTGTCAGGTTCAAAAGGGTGAATCCGTGTCTCATCTACTCTGACAATCTTGAATAAGAAATGTTTATCAGCTTCATGATGTTCAAGCAACTCTTCACAAATGGTTCTCCTTTACTCCTTATTTTCAGTTAGGCACTTAGAGACCCACTTGGCACAAACCTTTGAATAACCTAAGCGGTGGATAATTGTGTTGATACTGCCCACCCACAGCGATGCCTAGTTGAGCAGCAAGTTGCTTGGTTGTTACTTGCCTGTTCTCTTGAATAAGCCTATTGTAGCGTTGAACTGTCTCTGGAGTCACAGCAGCGTGTGGCCATCCCCAGCGTGGATGATCTGAGAGTCTCGCTTTACTTTGTTCTGTCCTTGAGACTCTGCTAACCTAACGACTGACAGTACTCCTATCCACTGCTTCATCCCCATAGACATGTTGTAACCATCTGTGAATGGTCTCGTACTCCGCAAAAAGAAATTCAATCACAGCTCTCTGCTTGTACTTGTCTCAAGTGCAGCTGCTATTTTAAAACTAAGCTACGCTACAACCACCTAACGCAGGGGTCGGAATTAGCGGCTCGCGAGCCGCATGCGGCTCTTTGGACATAAACTTCAATTTCATCTCACTTCATTTCACCGCAGCCTTATAACTTATGAGTTTATGGGATAGAGCCGCCGAACAAACTTCGACTTGTTCTCCGTCCGCACATGACCACACTCGCGTTGATCAATATGAGTCGCATAAGAGTGGTAGCATTTAAAGCATATCTATATATATAACCAATTGAACGCGTGTCCGTCCAACCGTGTACCGTTATGCCGAAAACGGCCACTAGAGGCGCCTGTCGTGTGTCGTATTTCGCACATTTAAATTAATATGCGGCTCTCTGGTACTTTTGTTATCCTGTTTTCATGACAATTTGGCTCTTCTCACTTGACAAACTGCCGACCCCTGACCTAACGGAATTAACGAAAGCTTTGTACAACAATTGTTATTTTAACAATTGTTGTATAACTTTGCATAACGTATTTTATGCGTTATGCAAAGTTTCGTTTAATTTCGATGAAGGGCAGCCGAGAAATAAAATTTTGTGCATTACTTATTGAACGGCCCTCGTATATAGCATTTTCGGTTAGATTTCATGCAATTCTGAAACACTGCTTGACCATTTGCAATTGGATATCATAATTGCAATTTATTTATGTAAATGTTTAAAGAAGAAAGGCCATAAATAATCGATAACGAATTCGTTATCACACATTTTTACTGCAGAAAGAACAATATTAATACATAGAAAAAATTGTCTTATTTTTTATTTGTAATATAACTTCCAAAAAACATCCGCATAAATGTCTGTCATGTTAAAGCTTCTCTTATATTTCTTCACATACGGGTGAAATATCTGTTGCAATCAGCAGCTGTTACTGTGTTAACAGATTGTTCGATGTCATTTATAACGTCCTGTTGTCCCGAAAGTAGTACCTAGGATTGGCCTCGCTGTGTTTTTAATTTTAGAAATTTAAAAAATATTCCATCAATTTAAAACATATATGAAATTGATGGGATGTACAGTATATGAAAATTGTTACTAAGATATTGTAAATTGTTTTTATCTACAGTTTAAAAACGCAGTATGTCAATGAACTTTATGATTTTGCAATGAAAATAAGTCGAATGTGTTTGAATTCTATTAAAAGTCACAAAAAGTGGTTTAACCAGTTGTGCCTAAACTATATTCCAACCACATCGGTTCGAACATATTTCACACATTACTTGTAAATGATAGAAATAGACTTACTTTGAATTTACGAGTATATAAAATATAAAAGATATTTATGTCCCGCTTCGACTACAAATTCTATGCACTTTAGCATAATTAAAATGTCCAGGCACAAGTGATATCAGCTATTGGAAATATTATTAATTATTGTTTATTATTTTCCTCGATTAATAATTGTGATATTATTGTATAATATAGCAAAATATTTAAATGTGTTAAGATAAGCCTGTTAGAATTATATACTGTATGTTATATAACGTAATGATGAATTAAAAAAATATACTTATGCGTCACGTGAGCAGCTCCTAGTAATGTTCTACTTGTTATCAACGTGCAAGATCCTATATAATGTGGAGGAGATATATTCCAATAATATTTCTCGAAAATAGCCACCTGAAAAGTAAAAGTTTGTTTAGTTTTTTTGTTTTTCATCTAAATAATAATAGCAGCCACCACAATCAATGCCGACTAATTATTGTGTACAAAGAAAATCAAATTTTCATTTATTGTTTCATATTAATTATTTTATTGAGAACAATTTTGATAGCTTTTATGAAACTCCATATTGTTCTATAAAAATTTTTTAATCATTTGCTGTATAAACAGGGCTTGAAAAAAACACTTGGACATATTGGACATCAAGCAGAAATGAGAGATTATACAATTTATTTTTACATGTTGGAATGACTCATATGCAAATTCAGAAAGAATGATTAATTAATCAGAACAATAGAAATTTCTTGATATTTCAAATTTATCCGCGAATTTCTTATAAACGACATGACCAGAAATATTTACCACCATAATGTCACGTTGTAAAGATATGTTATTTTGCTTAACGTATCGTATGTACGGAAGTTTGATGCCTTGAATTCTATGCAATAGAATGTACTGTAAAGTTTACTTACAATTTCGAGATTTCTTGAAATTGTAAGTAATTAATATCTTCTATAACAGAGGTAAGGAATATGGATTTAAATATGAGAAACAGTAATCTTTGTGTTTAGTAGCCGTCTTTAATGCTTAATTGGTAATTACGTCGGAAATTCACTTATTACCACTTACGATTGTATTCATCGAGATGGTTTCAAATCGTAAGTTTCATAATCTGAGAATTCGAGCAAGTAACTCTTGATTAAGAATTACTTTACTTCCATATTCACCATCAATTTTAACGCTCGATTAATAAATTCTGGAATAAAAGTGAAGAGCTATATTACAAATTCTTCAATTTTCCTAGTGTTTCATGTTGTATTTGCGGAATCGTCGTGGCTAAACTAAACACGTTATTTTAAAGTTTAGTAGAGAATAAATTCGTATGATGAAAGAAATTATGCTAACTTCAAGACAGAAGTATTATTAGAATCACTTGTGAAATATAAAACTGTATTACAACATAACCAAGTGAAGTAACAGCTATACAGACAAAGGCAGAATATAACAGTAAGCACGGGATAAACTAGAAATGTTGCAGTGATGTATTCGTCTACGTAAATCCACTACTTATTTATCACTCGTAGCGTTTTTGCTTCTTTTGAATTTGTGAAAGTTTAAACTTATCTTAAAAATTGAATTTGTTTACGTCGTTTTACGAAGAGTTCAAATAAAACATGCGTTAAATTAGAATTTGAGAACTAACCTGTCGGTTCAAATGAATTAAATCAACAAGTAATGCGTGAAGAAAATCGATTTTAAACTGAACTCGCGATTTATTTCTTATTCGAAATGGAGAATACGGCCATTAGAAATACATTTTCATGTTAATCAAGTCTTAACATCTATCGTGTTAATTGTTTAATTGGATTTTTATTTTCTGGCAGATTTTTAACGATTTCGTTGAACACTGGTTGACACCTACCGTTATAAAGCGTATTAAATAAATTCATTCAAAATTTCTATTGTTGAAAATTTCCAATGATATCCTAAACTTTGAGATGCAGAAAAAAAGACTTTACGAGAGACCAAGAAGAAACAGCTTGCAAAGAAGGATATATATATTTAAATCTGACATTTATTGAAACACTTAACTCACCATAAACGGATAATCATTAATGTTGGCCAGGTTAGCACCAAACATTCTTTTTGAAATTGCTATATATGATATAAATAAGTAAAATTAGTTATCACAAATAAATAATAATAATAAGGAATTAAATATATTTGAGTTGTTGTTACTACTTGTTTCATTTCTCTGTGCATATGCATCCGTGAACACAATCAAAACACACACGAAAATAATTAGGAATCGCTTATTTAAAACTCTATAAAGAAAGTTAGCACAGAATTAAACACGAATAAAGTCACTTTTTATATCTACTTTTCATTTAAACGAATTTTTCCATTTATTTCTATTGCACTTACTTCAGAAAATGTTTTCCTTTTGCCATTATGACACACAAATAGTATGTTAGCATGTGACTAAATTATAAGTGGGGTTTATTTATATACAGCACATTTTAGTAGCTTATTATAAAATCATTGTTATAAAGCAATATTTACAATTATTAATTATTATTTTAATCTAACTTAAAAACAATTAGTAGTTGTTAACATTTATCATACTAATCATTAAATTTTTGAATTATTTCAAAATAATTTGAACTACTTTACTGGAAAATTTCGTTGACTTGATTACTACTTTTTTAATAACTGATAAAACAACACTTGTTTAACAAAGGACGTACTTTTTACCGATAAGGTGTTAAACATTTATTTTTTCGAAAATATATAATAGTGTAGCTTTTGCCTTTAAACACTAAGATACTTATAAACACTTGGGTTCTGAAACAGCACTTACCTTTTATTATTTAATCATCATATAATTTTTGTAATACTCCTCTCTACCCTCAAAATTCAATAGTTTGTCTTTTATAATAATGAAATTTGATCATAAAAAAATTTTTATAACAGATGACGCCACACATAATTTATTGATTAATGGCATCAGTAATAATTTAAAAATTATTTTTTTAAATAAAATTTCTTAACAACTGCGAAAGTTACGTAACTCGGTGCTGGATTTTTACAACAGACACAAAAAGAATATATCAGAAACCTTAAATAAAATGTAATATTGGTTTTGCGCTAGGTTGTGTAAAATATTTCAAGAAACAATACATTCAAAACACATCCTCTAATTTTTTTAAACGTTTCTTTTTATGAAACAGATTTTTAACATTGAAAAGCTATTTTTCATATATTATATTTATAAGAAAAACATTATGTTAACAACTCATTTTCTTCAGTTTCTCTGTAAATTCATGCCATATAGTTTTTGTACTAGTTAAATCTGTGAAGAGAGGAAAAAGCGAATGAGAAAGGTTTGAAAATAAATTATGAATATTATAATGATTTTTTTAGTGAAAACACATGAAACAATTGTAACAATGTTTTTATATCATGCATGAGTAGCATTTTCTTCAATGCGTAGTCTAATCTTAACTCCTCTGTCTACACAACATACCGGTAACGTTACTTAAACAGACCTTGTATTACTTTGAGAATCGCTGCATTATTCCATACAAGTATAATTGATGCATCATATGATATAATCACCATTCTTTGATGATCATGATTATGATCCAGTAAAGTTATTTATCTGTTCAGCAATAGTTATAGTCACATGCCATTAGTTTTAAAATACCAACAAACACAGTCTTGTAAGAAATTTCATTTTCTAGCAAAATCTAAAATACAAACGTTTCTTTTTTTGCAGAAATATCTATACTTTCATCAGCAAATAATATATGGAAAGACGATCTTTTCACTCCACCCATTGTTTGTAATTCAAGTACGAAGCTGAGGCAGGCAACTAATTCGAACGTATTATATCTACTACACCAACTCTCTGGTATGGTTGCATATTCGGTCAAATGTGCAAGAATTTGTTGCACGAAATGAATTTAGGCATTAATTTCAAATGCTAATATTTAATACAATGTTATCAAACAGTATATTAAACATTTGAGAATTAGATTTCTTACAGATATTTTCTTCCACTCATGCTTTATGGTGTTGTGAAATTTCTGTTAGCGATTGTAACATCCTACCATTTTCCTCGTGTATGTCTTAACCTCAGCAAGATGAATGCTCGATTTTTTATTTCTTTCCACATAATTCAATTTATTTTCCACATCTTTCACTTACTAAAATTACTCCCAGCTTTGGATTTTATGCAAATGGTGCGTGAAAAATCTTCAGTATTTCGGTTTTTAAAAATATCACCTATTGCAACTTTCTTTTCTGATGTGAAGACGCTATAATTCAGTTTATAAAAGCTGCAGCAGCCATACTTTTTTGAAAACATACACAGGCTATCTTCAACACAACGGTTTTTTCTTCTGCCTTTTTGACATTGTACAGTACAGTAGGAATGGAAAAAATGGTAATACTTCGTACAATATTAGAATCGAATATTATGTTATCAAAACAACTATTGCTATATTACTATAGTTACTCTTTCTTCGCTCATTGTAGCTCTTTGATACGTCTTGCTTAATTTATTTTCACAAATTTCTTTCACAACTGGCAGCTGAAGCAATGGTAGTGAAAAAAATTGATTAGTTTGTTATTATATTAAGTCTTTTGAAGCTTTCATTTGTACATCCACCGAAACAAATCGAAAGCTGTTTATCAGGAAAGATTTCTTATACAATAGGATGAGGTGCAGAAGGTGAATAATTTCGATATCAAAGCATTCGATTCTGTACTAGCAGTATTATCGATCTTATACATTTTGGAGTATATTTTCTTTTAAAGAAATATAAAGTTAAAGTTTATTTTTAAAGCTTGAAGTTTGATAAAAATATTAGTAAGAAAAGTATGATTGGTTACTATTTGATACGAATCAAGTTTCTCAAAGAATATCGATCCGATTGTTAAGTTGTAGTCATAGAGATGTATGGATTTCTTATTATTTACGGTGATAATAAAAATTATGTTGTTATTTTTTATTTACACAAGTGTGTGGATGCTTGAATTACCCAATTAAATAATTTTTCTTTCGATGTTCTTGATACTTTTCCTATTATCTAGCATGTTTAAAGTTAATAGTGAATTTTGAAAAAGTCAAGGAAGGTTTGATTATATGATCAATAATGAATAATTGGCTATGTATGTAACAGATACAATTCATCTGAACAATGTTTGGAAGATCTGAAAGTAATATGGGGAAAAAAACAAAACGGACTTAGTGAAAAACATTTTGCACCGCCATTAGTTTAAAATGGATTGCGCAATTGTACGATTTATTAGTGAGTGATAGAAATGATTCGGCGCATTTTGTTTAGCTCTAAGCTAAAAAACGCAATCACTGCTCATTTAATGTGATAGAATTTTATTTCTTTAAAAAAATGTAGACATTACGGCAATCAGACGTCAGAAAATACGGTTGTATCGTTTATTTCTGTGATATTTCTTTTTACTAACGTTTCTTACTTTTATACTACTGGAATTTGATCCAAAAAAGCAAAACGTAAATAGAGTAAATTTCGCTTTCCTGGGACACATTGGAAATAATCTATTTTGGTCCAATTAAGCAGATGCCCCAATTAAACGAACTAATAATAAATTATTTAATAAAATATGTAATACGTAAGTAAATAAATTAGTAGGTAAAAAATAATAATTAGGTACCTATTTTAATGCTTTATTAAACCAAAATATAGAAAATATTTTTACTATAAATTTGCCAGACTCATGACGATAGATATGTGATTCGCATAATTCTAGTGTTGCCAAATGTTAGTAGTGACGTACACAAGGGTTGACTATTCAATCCGTTTCTGATCGAACAATTTTTCTTTTCTTTTTTTTTAGTTAGAACATGTTCTAACTAAAAAGGGAGAAAGAAAAGGATTCGTCCAAAAGTCATTTTAAGATCTTCTTTTGAGCACAGTTTCCTTTACTTGGAGATGGGCCACTTCGGCGGGAGTGTCCGTATATCTGCCAGCTCGACGCTGCTCCCAACAATCGGATGACTGCTGTCTGAATCTAGACATAATTATGCACACAATTATCGTCTTTCGGAGTTGACAACACAATATAGAGTACGAAAGGGTTTTGCTAGTTAAACAAGAAGTGTTTGTTTATAGAATACCACCGAGATCTACAAGTTGAGGATACAGGTGTATATAAATATATTTAGAACCTTATAATGAACTAAACGATTTGAAAAATGACCTAGATGATGAGAAATGGAAGTAATGGATTCTGCCGAACCTCAACCGTTAAAGGCTTTAGAAGCAGTGCACATTCACAACCATTTATTAGAAAGATTTAATAAGTTGAAGAAATGGCAGGAAGAGCAGCAGGAACGTTTACGTTCCATACAAAAACTTCAGTGGCAGAAACTGCATGAACAACAAGAACATATTGATGCTATATGGAAGAAAAAAGCAGATGAATGATGGTAGTGCCAATGTAAATACTATAAACACCATAAATGCTCAGAATAATCCTATGCCAATATCTGTAACTAGAGTTAAAAATGCTTATAAATCAAAAGAAAGTCAATTTGTACAGAAGGAAGCAGAATCGGTCGTATGTATTGATGACGACGATAGACCCATTCGATCGGAATATTCAGACGAAACATCTTTTGAAGAATTACTTGAAAAACAGCTATCAAAGGACAGGGATATTCCCACTGGAAGAAAGTCTAAACCGATAAAAAAGCCATTCCTAAAAAAGGGAAGTGGTTTGAAGAAATATAATATTAAGATGCCTCCAAAATTAGTAAAGAAACCACCAAAGCAATTAATTGGTAAATTAAAACTGAAGAAAGAAGTTAAGAAAAATGATTTTCCGTCGACAGTGATCTAAAAACATGACACTGTAACTTCGCACGGAGATCAAAGCGATTCAAATACTTCATTGGATCATCAAGAATATTTCCCACTTAAACAAATGGATTTAATAGAAATTACACAGCAGGATTTTTTTTATCAGAGATTGTGAGAAATTAAAGAAATACCATCAAAAAGAATCTGTTGAATTGGCAGAATTTAAAATGCTAGAAGAGGCTGCTCACAATATCTCATTTACGAGCGAGTCGTCATTGTTGGCTTACGTGGCAAAACGATATCAGTCACCAAAAGACAAAACAAAATCTCAAGATAATAAAGAAAATGGAATTGAAAATCTAGAAGAAAATCTTGTTTTGCAAACAGCATAGCTTGAAAAATTGCTTAATTCTGTTAAAAATAGGCATCAGTTTTTACAACAAAATGTAGATTTAAAACAAATTGATGATGACAACACAAATGCTTTAAGTGTAATAAATGAAGAAAATTATATTGAAAGCAGCTCTCAGACAGATTGTTCTCTAAATGTACTGCAGAATGAAGACAGATTATCAGCCAAATCTGACAATGAAGATAAATCATTTAATGATGAAATTAGTTGGAAAGGAAATGTTCATTTTGAAGATTCTGAGTATATATTCAATTGTATGCTTTGTGCCGATAATTCTGTCGATGATGACTGTCCAAATTCTTCGGTTTTTAAGGAAGAAAATGACACATCAAGTAATAAGTTGATTGATTGCAAAATAAATGATGAGCAAATAGCAGAAAATAATAAAACAAAAAACAACAGAATATTCTACAGACATTACTAATGAAGTTTTGTTGGCTGAAAGGTATCATCTTCAAAAAAAAGTAATGAATTGGAAAAAGAAATAATATTTAAAAAAGAAAATACACTCTTAATTTCACTTAGCAAGCAGCGTGAAGAAATGGTAAAACAGTTACAAAAAGAAAAAAAAAGATTTTGAACAGTTTAAAAAAGAAATGGGGAAAAAAATGTAAGACGAACTTGACGAAGGAAGGAAACAACTAAGAAGAGAGAGGCAGAATTTTGAAAGATATCAGAAACTGAAAAAGGATCATCCAGATAAGAAAGAGAGAGAGATCATCTCAACGCTTCGGCAGCAAATAGAAACATTGCAAAACGATATTAAAAAGCAAGAAAATAAGTGGTCGTTAGAATGTCGCCGACTGCAAAATAAATTGGCCGTTACCGAAAAAGAGAGAGAGAGAGAGCTTAAAAATTTCACTCAAACAACTAAAATTCCAAAGAGTAGAGTTGCTAACTCTGTTAAAAGAAAATCAGAATAAAAAGCAGTAAGTAAAGAAGGAGATTATTAATTACATACTTCAACGTATGTGAAGCTTTCAATGCTGTAACGATTTATAAAATCAAAATTATCACTGGCTGATATGTAAATATCTAGTTATTTAATAGAATTGCTTGAATTAGTTAAAACGCTAATGAGAATTTTGTTTTCCTAAATTATCTATGAATATCAATGGTGAGCCAGAATCATCCTGTAAAGAAAAGTAAACTCTAAAAATTAACATGATAACATTAGCTATAAAATAAATGTCAAAAATGGTAACTGCTTTACTTTCACTGCTTTTAGTGTTATAATTTTTTTACCAGTTACTGATATGTAAAACGTACGAGCAACGATTTTTGGATCAATAAGGATTCGCTTCCGCTACTCGATGAAAATCTGTATCATATTCTGTATGTACATTAAAAAAAGGAAAATTATTTTATTTTTATTGTCGTATTATATTTTATATAGTATATACAATTGTAATACTTACCGAAATTAGTGTTTTTTCCAAACCGGAAATCTGCGCCAAACCTTTAGTAAACTTTACGTTTCTTTCAGATAAGGCAATTGGAAGTTTATGTTCGACAGGATGTATAGGAATCGAAAGCGCAATATCATGGAGATTCTCCCCTGAAACGTAATCTGGGTGTATAAATCTTTTTCCAAACAACACTTTTTTATCTTCATATTTGTTCAGTTCACTAATTCTTCCGTAATAATCTTTAATAACACATATAATTCAAAAAAAAAAAATTTGAAATAAATAATCATGAGAAAAATACAATAGAATAAAGTCAAACGTTATTCAAATACTTTTCGTAAATAAAATTATATGATTTTTTCATTTGCTACGTGTTATTTCGAACGTTGAAATGTCATTATTCAACACAACGAATTTCTATTTTGTGCATATTTGAAGACTTTTTTTCTAAAAAGATGTATGATATTTTTATTTCTCAAATTGTGCCATATATTACAGTTGAATTTGTTTATTAATGTTGTCAGATTCTGTCTCAGAGCCAAATTATTCGGTGGATGGAATTATGAGATAACACTACTGAACTGCTGAGCAATTTCCTTAGGGAGAATGCCTCCTGGAAAAACTGTTCCGTACTTAGGAGACCTGTGAAGTCAGCTTCTAGAAGTATTTGTACTAAATAAATACAAATATAATTCGATTTTTCTACATTTGTTCGTAAAAGTTTTCTTTGGACCGCTATTTTTAAAACTTCGATAATGATTGAGTCTGATTAAAAAATATATAAAAGTATTTTTACCAAGATTAAAAGCAAACCGATTTATTTCATTTGGATTGAATTCTTCATTCAAACATTTTGTTTGTATCTTAGAAAAAGTTCTAATGTACAAACAAAAATTTAGGGAGTTAGAATCACATTAATGTTGGCCTACAATCAGATTGCTGCAAGATTAGATCGATAGTTTTTCCATTTGTGTTTTCCCGGCTGTAATGTACAGTACATATGGTAAGGGAAAGAATTTAAATCGTGTCAAATATGACCCTCTCTGCAGTAGGAGAATATAAGGGGGTTATATCTGAAATCTGGAGTATTGTCAATGGTCAGAATTACTAAATATATTAGGCTACTCGTTACTAGAACTTACATTTTTTTTAATAATGTTGATGACAATGAATCTAAAGTAGATAATCATGTAATCAAATTAATACGATAAATTACTTCTGATGAAACAGATTTCAGAATATAATTTATTTCTGAATAATTAGAGTTATTGATAGATAAAAAAACAATTAATAATAAAAGAAATTACAGAAAGACACATTTGCTGCTGTAAGTTACATTTATTCATTCATCTTTTGTATATAACGCTTTATGTAATAGTAAATGTTTATATCTTCTCCTCCTAAAGAATATAAGAAAATTCATGTGTAAATTTAGTGTTACAGGTTATAATATTGAAAATAGTATGGAATATTTAAAAGATAAAATGAAGTATTTAGAAAGTGAATTTATTATTTGATAAAATATAGGCCTATATTGAGCAGCAATTAAATTTCATTTGAATGTAATGAAAAAGAACTATCAAAACTTGCAAAAACAGCACAACTATTTATGCAACTATTTATAATATCTAGCATTGTATCTAAATATAAATATGTTGTTAGTATAATGCCAATATGTATTGAGACAGTTGATGTTATTTTTGGTTCTGTTCATATCATTAAGTGCGTTCGCAACTTAAAGATTTGAAAATAAATTTATTAAATTATCTGACATAGATAATGATAATATAAAAGCACAATTTAAACATATGGAAATAATGTACGAACTAGAAAAACAATCTTTAGTGAAATATGGGCATTTACTTGTAATTAAAGTATAATATTAATCTAATATTCAAAACCAAAATGTGAAGTTAGAATTGCGAATATTTAATGAAAAAAAATATTTATCTTTTGAGATGTATCGCAAGCGATAATACCACTATTTTTCCAGGATTTGAACATACATGCAATTTTTTGCATATATTTGTAACTCGGTGGAAAATTGTGAATGTATAGTATGCTTTTAAAGGGCAAAGATTTAATGATAAATTTAGAGGATCTATAAAAAACAAATATTTCACTAATTGATTTTCATAGATGATATTTAGATAAAAAATTAAAAATTAACATTACCTATATCAGATACATTAAATCTTAAACATTTTAAGCATTAATTATATCAAACGAGGCCTTTTTGTGAAAATGATTTCAAATATGTTTCATAATTACAATTTAAACTATTTTCTGCTATCAAAGTTTCGGAATGATAACAGAATGTTTCATAGAAAAAAGATTTGGATGTTACGGCAGTTAAGTGAGTCTCATTTTTAGTTATACGCAGTTATTAAAAAGTGAAATAAATTAAGATTTAAAAGCTTTGTAATTTCATGATATAAAAGTCAGGATATTCAATTAAAAGCAGTATTTAAACAAACATTTAAAAATTTTAATAATATACATTCATTTTCTACAATATTTCTGAATAAATTTCCTTCCAAAATGTACCTAAATCTATGTTACCAATTTTTATCAATAATGCAGGCTATCAGCAAAAAATAAATAAATAAATAAAATAAAATAAAACACAAAATAAATAAATAAATAAAAATAAATAAATAATTAATGAAAAATAAACGTATCATTTGTCAGAATTGGCTCGCATCAGACAAAGAAGTAGCAGTTTAATGAATTAACATTAATTTAAATTTAAAGAAAAGCATAGTGTACTAAAAGTTTTGTTTATTGTAATTTTTAATTAAATTAAGAACTTTATTAATATGTGCGAAAGTAAGTTTGCGAATGTCCAAACGAATAGCCACAAATTTTTTCCTTTTTTTTTTTTTTTAAATCTGTGTAACACCTACATACGCGATAAAATGTGAAACATTCTCTAACAAATTATCAAAACACTAACCATACAACAGAGCTGTTCCTTCTGTATACAGAAAATATTAGATCTGTTGTATGGCCACTGTTTTAATATTTTGTTAAGGAATGTTTTCAATTTATGATTGAAAAATTAAAAAATAAGATGGTTTTGAACTTTACTTTCTACATTACTCATAAAGTTTACTTTGATTTTTTGTGTTCATACATATAAGAAGTGCTTCTAGTTATTCAATATTATTAATACAAAACTTTTATATTCGTTCACGTATGTAGCTACAGTATAGAAAAATCAGCAGTATCTCGAAAAGCTGCAGACCATTTCCTCATATCAACGAATTTTCGTTGATTTTTTTGTACTCACGTAGAAACATTCTCAATACAATGATGTATTCTGAACATTACTTGCATTCAGCAAACGTGATGAAGTACATTTGGTACTTTCGTTCTTCTTTGCCAATTCGATAAGAGCAGAAAGAATGGAGTAAAGACTACTCAGCATCTAAAAGGTAAAAAAGAGATGAAGATAAAATGTATAATAATAAATTAAAACTCATTATTTAATCGAAACTTACTTTAATCGGAAAATCGCGTTTGACTCGAAAAAATCCACCGACAGAAATTCCAATGGGTGTTTTTCCGAATCTTTTCATAAAATTCAGCATCTGTTTAAAAAAGAACATAATTTCAGAATAAAATTTATCCATAACGTAAAAATAGAACACTCAATTTACCTTCAATTTAAAAACCAGGGAAAATCTGTATGAAGAATATTTATTAATCTCGTTGAAATTTCCGTAAAGCTAAAATGAATGTTAAACATTATAGATTATTTATTAATTTGGTGGTAGAAATATTAAATAAATCTTACCGAAGATGTAAATCTGGATAAACCGAATGAAATTATTAAAAATTCCAAAATTACGAATATGATAATGACTAATGCACCCAGTTTAGACTCTGCGGGTAAATCGTAAAACAAAGATATTGTTACCAGAATACTAAACGCATATAAATTACAGCAGTAAACAGCAGGGAAATACATTTCGAATTGGTTATTGACGTTTCGAACGTCTTCCATTAATGCTGTATGTTCTTCGATTATGTATACGATTAGAACTTTACTTTTCCTTCTTTCACGAGAAACTACATCGAGTTTGCTCGACAATGTGTTAAATCCATGAAACAAAATGAGTAAATAATTATAAAGAAGGAATAATATGTAAACAGTTTGTCCTATTAAAAAAAATGATGATAATGCCCAATCGATATTACAGAGAAGGAATTCCGTTACAGTTGCATTTTCCACGGCAGAATATAGAGAAAAGTCAAGCATGAAGTAACATGTGACTTGCAGTAAAGCAGTGACTGCGAAGAAAACTGCAAATTGAAATTCTATTGAGGTAATTAACGTTTTTTCGACTTCATAGCAAGATTTACTAGGTAGATTTAAATGAATTCGTTTAAGTAAAGAGAACTGAAAAGTCCAGAATATGATCGTACCAATAACAAAAAACTGCATGATGTATTTGAAACCTACGAATAAGTTAAACAAGTCTCCGCATACGAATTTATCGGAAAATATTGTGGAAACTAATGCCAGCGTATTCAGAATAAGAAACAATTCGAGAAAATTTGAATAAAATTTAAAAAATCGAAAATTCCATGAATTCTTATGATAAACACACGTTAATATATTTAACCCAAGAATTTGTGATGCAGCATTTAAGGAATATAAAAGTATTTTAATCTCATTACTTGAGTTTTCCATGATTTTAAATTATAAATTTTTTATTATTTTCTTTGTTTAATCTTTTGGCTTTATGGACACTTACCAAGTAATATTTTCAAATTCAAAACTCAACCCTTTAAGCGTCGGTTTCTAAAAAAGAAAAAAAAGTGTCCATTGTTCGGAAATGCCGTTCATTATAGGTGATTATTGAAACAAAAATTCATTCAAAGTTTTTAAAAACATGGCTAAGAAAAGGCTATAGTTTATGGTTTAGCCATAATTTAGTGAAATATTTCACTTATTTCACGTTTCAGCTAAACAATAATAATCTGTTACTTTCTAAATTTTACCATTTAATTGTAATAATATTCTGATAATGTAGTTTAATATCAATCTAATTTCTAACCATTATATATTTATGTGAAGATGATGCTAAAAAGACTGATTTTGAGAAAGTAATGTGGAAAAATTTTATTATTTCCTACAAATAAAATATTGCTGACCTTTCTTACCTGTACCAAATAGAAAGAAATCCTGCTGTAAATAAAAATGAATTTCACGAAAATTAATATGAAGCATTAATAAATTATAAAATTGTAGACATCGATAAATAAATGAGATATTTTTGAATGCTTAAAGACATGTTCATCCAGAAACGTAAATCCAAACTCAATTTTAATACGTTAGATATTTCCTTGAGATAAAATTTTCCGGTATTCGAAATTAAAAATACTTAATCTAAACCTAACTTGTCTAACAGTGTCCAAGTGTATAAAATTATTGAACCGTAAAAGTTTCTCACGGGTTTGTGTCTGTGCTAGTTCTGACCACGTAAAGATTACCGGGCTTTTTCACTTATCTAACACCTAAACATGGAACAGTTTCCTCTATATTCACCACCAGGGAGACAATTCCCTTTTAGCAGATTAGAATGTGTTGTTGCGTTGCCCACCTCATTACTTTACTCCACTCAAGCTGATTTTTGTTTGATAACACGCATATTTTCCATTTATGAAAGTATTTTCTAAGTGAATTAAGTTGTTAATGGCATATTTCATGTAATGGATATCGAAAATTAATTATCCTTAATTATGTATAAGTATACATTGTTGTCTAATATGATAGGTATTTTATTTTCATGATACAATCTTTTGTATAAGAATGCTATTTGTTCTAAACACTGAGGCCCATTAGTAGCTAAGCGGTCTTTGTACCCTTAACAGTAGGACTTTGGTATTGGGTTCGCGCCTTAATCGGACGAGCTGACCACGTGGAGTTTTCCTGGTTTTCATCACTTCTGTAACGCCTAAATAGGGACCAGTTTTTCTTAAAAATACCTCCGGGTAGGCATCCCCATGCTGATCGTTCAAGTTTTACGTTTCCATAACGTAAACAAACAAACGTTTAAACTGAGAATCTTACTTATCTTAATTGCATCCTACTTTTTGCCTTACATAACAGAATTGTAAACATCACAAGGATGCCATTTTTAATCAATATATATCCTTCGGCATTTTTTTTGTAACTTCCTTGTTTTAGAAACAATTTAAGAAACGTAACCAGTCTTGTCCAGGCTTAAATCGCAATATATGCACGGACAGTCCTTCGAGTAACTTTCTAGTAACGTTTGGTCTCCTTTTTTTCTGGCGGAGCTTCGGCCTCACTTTTTCATTTAATTGCCTTCATTTTGGGAGTAGAAGTTAAAACTAAAGAGGTTTGTCGACTCTTTGGCTTACGTCCTTTTGGGAGCGGAGAAATCTCGATAGACACGGCCAGAGTGGATTTAGTAGCGGCAGATGAATGATATTGAATTATGACATACCGACATACCTGGTTTTGTCCGTATAACGTTATAAAAAAACAAAATTATAAAATAAATAGAAAGATGATAGTTTTAATGGAAAAAGTTATTTAAGTGCAACAACAAATTCCCGACGGTTGAAATAAATGCTGCACAAATAGATAAAACTCGTAACGCTGGTGGGCGAATGTTAGTAAAAGCCCGGAGACCGCCAAATTCCAATTATGTCATATTGTACTATAACAAATATTAAAACGAAAAGCATTTAAAGAGTTTGGCTATTTCAGCCTACCATTGTCATATTTATGGGGATACTCGGATGGTACGATTCATTGGTCGAGTAGACACCGATTGAAAATGTCGTGTCTTCAATTTTTTAACATTTGATATTTTTTCTAATGTTAACGAGAAGAAACCGCACTATTCGCGGCTAAATATCAAACGATAATCCGCCAACCGATCAAATTTCGCAAAACTCTGCCCAACTGTAATGTTGTTTTATGTAATTTTTCTATTCGAACGGTCCGATAGAAAGGAGCCGCTGCCAATGGAGGTTGACGTTAATTGTCCCGGACGGCCAACTACTACTAATTACTTCCAGTCTACTGTTTGAAAAGTGATCCGTGTTGATGCGTGTGATGCCCAGCGCGTGATGAAAGTTGCTAACCTTAAGTCCTTAACGCCCGAAAAACTTGGTACGATCTTGTAAAAATGATAAAGAGTTGTTTTTATGCGATAATAATGCGTTTATACTTNAACAAAGGGGGCGGTGGATCGAAAAAGTTTGAGAATCACTGATTTAAATATTAACCGAAAAGGTTAAATTAAACAAGTAAAACGGCAAAACCGTATTTGGGACACGACTGTCTCGGAGACACTACTAAGCGGAATCACTTTGACGCTCAAAGCGGATCTCTTTCTCATTCTCCAATCTTCTTTGGTATCGCTGCTTTTGGGCGCGATCGTTCAACCTTCGCCAGCCACGACCACGAGGTCGTCCACCATGCATTTTCGATTAAATTTACCTATTTAATTTCGAAATTTCTCTCCGTTGCGTGTCGGCCCGGGTTGAATTTTTGTCGATGCTTAACAAAAATTTCTCGTCTTTGAAAAAAATAATCGTGGCTATTGTATCGTACGAAATTATATTTTTTATTTTGCGCAAACAATATGCAGTTTAACCTCATTATAACGTCAAATTTTCCCTGGTCCTACGATTTTACTATACTAGACAATGTTAAAAAACCTACTTGTAACGACATAAAACCCTGTTTTAAAATTATATTCGAAGCACTCCCATATTTACAAAATTAGATTACAAATTTTATTTAAGAAAGAAAATATTACGTGTTCAGTCCTAGGGTCAGAGTCCATTTTTTTGAACGACTGTGGGTGGTACTCTCACCACCTGACTTCGGTTTGCCTGTTTGTAGAGACAGTCGCCATTTTGTATTTTACTTTCACTCGGATCTCGGTTCCCGAGTACCTACAAGTCAGGTTTATTTATGCGCACATGATTTGGTCACTTAATACTCTGTGCCAAATTGCAACTCCTGACACGTACTCCTTCAAACCTCTAAGATGGTAACACAGCAAGCAGTCCGATTTTAGAAGCAAGACATAGTCTTGTTGACAATTATTTTTTTAAATGTAATACCAGTAGACCCCCTATAACACTGTTGATAATTCCGTGTTATATGAATTCCATGTTGTACGAGTCACTTAGATTTTACAAATACGTGAGCCGTTCACAGCCCGGCACACGTATTTGTAAAATCTAAGTGAATCGTACAACAGGGAATTCATATAAAACAGAATTATTAACAGTTCTATAGGTAGGTCGAATGTACACTGTAGAAAGGTCATTTGTCCATATTATACATATTATACATACATATGCCAGATATCTAATTTCAAGTTGCTGTGTAGTTGGTAGCCTGTAACCCTTTAAAACTGGATGCGTATCAATAAAACGGAGGAGCGGCTCGATGCTAATATCAAATAGTAGCATTGAAAGGGGACAGCCCTGCCTCACAGAGCATTTTAGACTGCAGGCTTTTGTAACGCCGTTATTTACGAGTATGTTGCTTTCTGCGTTATTGTAACAAAGTTGGATCCATGCTAGGTATTTTTCTCCTATGTTAATGTGCCGTAATAATGTCCACAAATATTCGTGGCCTATGTTGTCAAAGGCCCTATGAAGGTCAATTTGCAGGAAGCTGCAAGTATCGTGATTCTGATGGGCTAGGTCGTAGATCGTTTGGGCTAAGAGGGTGTTTGAGTGAATGGATCGACCTTTTATTCCACATGTTTGGTTTTCGCCCACTATATGTTTAATATATCTCTGTAACCTTGCTGCCAGGATTTTTGCTAATATTTTATAATCTGTGTTTAATAGGGAAATTGGTCTCCAGTTATTAATATGTCTAAGGTCACTTGAGTTATCAGTTTTAGGTATGAGGGTGATTAATCCCTTATTAAAGTCTTTAAGTAAGGTTTTACTCCTGAGATCTGTGTTCATCATTTTGATATAGATTGGTGCTAGGAGTGGAAAGAACTGTTTGTAAAATTCTGCTGGGAGCCCGTCTGGACCTGGGGCTTTGTTGTTTGCCATGCTTTTTAACGCGTGTTGACATTCCTTTATATTTAATTCCTTATTGAGGTCCTGCAGTTGATCTTGAGTCAGTTTCGGCATCTGTTCGATAAATTTATTTGCAATCTTTGGGTTAAAGCTCTTTTGGCTGAATAGAGTTGTATAGTGTTGGTGGATTTCACGTTTAATTTCGTTATTTTCAGTTATTAGTTTGTTGTCGGTGCTCCATATTTGTTCGATTGTTTTCTTTTTTCTGTGTTTCCTTTCCAGTTTGAAATATTGTTTTGACGGTTGGTTATCCATTTCCAACAGCTTACTGCGTGAGCGTATAAGTGCTCCGCGCATTTTCTCGGTTTCATAATCGTTTAATTTGCTTTTTGCATTATTGATCGCTTCTCGTGCTTTTTCTGGATTTAATTGACTGTCGAGGTAGGCTTGTTTTAGTGCCAGGATGTGGGCTGTATATTCTTCTTTTTTGGCAGCTTTTTTTTGAGCGGCGATTTCAATTGCTGCTTTTTTAACCCTTGTTTTCATGTCGCTCCACCACTCGGAGGGGACCTCTTTTGTTATCGTGAGGATCTCCGTAGTAGCAAGAGCAAGGAAATCAACATCAGATAGGAGAGTTGTGTTCATTTTCCAAAGGGAAACACCATCTGTACTTTTACTGCGCTTCTGGTTGGTGCCTTCAAAGTGAAGGATGACACCACTGTGATTTGAAAGGTGGGTGGGAATAATGTCGCAATAATCAACATTATGACTGATTTGGCTTGATATATAGAAACGGTCTAGACGGGAGTGGGATTTATTGTGATGATATGTATATTCTCTCTTTTGGGGGTTTAAGCTTCGCCATATGTCGATCAAATCATTTTGATTTTTAACAGTCTTGAAGTGGAAGTTTTCTCTGGAGTTATTTGTGTTGCCGATTCTATCACTCTCGTGTTCAACAAAGTTAAAATCACCCCCTACGATTGTGTTATAAGGGCATTCAAGGTAGAAGTTAAGACTTTCGATGAATTCGACACGGTCTTTGGGGTTATTGGCAGGACAGTATACTGAGATTATACGAATGATGGACTGAGGTATTTCAATGTCGCAAACAGCAACTCTCCCTATATTGTCAGTGAACGAATTAATGATGTTTATATTTTTCCTAATTAAAATCGCAGTCCCCCTGCTACCAATATCTCCATGTGACCATACACTTTTGAAGTATTTATCTAATTTACGACATAGCACATCGAAATTCCAATTTTTAACTAGTTTTGTTTCCTGTAGTAAAGCTATGTCAATATTCGAAGATAAAAGGTAATTAATTAAAAGCTCTTGTTTGTTGGCATTATTTAAACCGTTAACATTTAACGTTATCATCTTAATCCTCAGGGCCATTATTGAAATTAAGAGGTACAATCATTACTTCAGGTTCATTTGTTTTGACATGGGCATAATTTGTTTCGCATCGTGGTGGAACAATCATTACTTCTTGGTTAGAACTATTTACTTGTATGATTTCACGCTTTTCTGAATAAGGATCTTCGCTTTCTTTTTAATTTTCACACTGCATTTCCTCCTAGCTTATGCTGTTTAAGACCTCATATTTATTCCTAATTAGTACTGGGTCTGCAGGATCTAAGTTCTTTTTAACGATGTCATTTTCTCTTCTACCCCTGTTTTCATTGAGGTTGATCGATGGGGTACACCTAATTTTCCTCCAGCGTTTTTTCTTCCTTTGTTTGTCTGGAGTGCTTTCTGGTGAGGAATCGCTGCCTGACGAGTTTTGCCCTCTGGCCGTAATTAGTGTATCCCTCGAAACTTTATCGCTTTTGTTCTTTTCGACAATAGTAACCGCCGCGGGCTTAACCGTTACTGGTAACGACGGTGTATTTTCTTCATGTGCTACTTTATTGTTCTCGAGCTCTTTGTCTACAATATCGGACCACGTGCTACTTGTAGCCACGACCAACGCAGCCGTTTTTCCTAGACACGTTTCGGTTAAGTGCCCGAATCTATAACATTTTTCACATTTTTTTGCAATACAATTACGTCTGATATGACCAAAAGCTTTACAACGATAGCATAGTAACGGTCTGCCAGCGATTACTACCGAGCCGGTCACGCCCTTAACCCTTATGAAGTACAATAGATTCTCAATAAAGATTCTTGCTTAAGTTCCAGCCAGATTCTACGTTTATTCGTAAGCACATGCTCCAGACCTGGTACATTCGATTTCACAAACTCCGTCTTTAACTAAGTCATGCGATAGAACTGGAGGTAGCCAATGAACGTTAATCACGACTTTTCTGTTTTCTATAGGAATTATTCGACATCTCTTACCTTTAACTCTAATTTCATTTAAACTCAAAAGAGAATTTACAGCACTTTCAGTCTTCAATCCGATGGTAAAAACGTGCGTAACCACGTTAGCCCCGAAATGAACAATGTCCTTTAAGTCTATAACTCCATTCACGGCTGGAACAAAGTCATGTAGATCGTACGGTCCACTTCCAGGTTCGAAGATTAAAAGTAGAATATTCTTCCAATCAGTATCGTTTGGGAAATTTAGTATACGCAGTATATCCGAATCTGCTACAGAACGACGGCTTTCGCCACTTAAACTTTGAGCTTCGACTGTTGACGAGCGCGAAATTGTACGTCCTGCTCACACGGCGGTCGAACCGGTTCTTCAACGTGGTATGGCCGCTGTCGAAGACAAATCGCCTTCACAGCATCACTTATCCATATTCGCGCCCCAATATCGCTTTTCGTTCTTCTCATCATATTCCACCCTAAATACACTTTACACCAAAGCGCATTGACAGGAATCGATGGGAGAAAAGTTACTTAAAAATTGACAATGTCAGTCAATTTTACTAACTTAATAAGACTTATTGTAATGCATCTGTATATATATATATATGTAATATTTTAATTAATAAAAATTGGAAAAATCACAAGAACAACACTTTTAATGTCACATCGTATCAATGCCGGCTTGCAATTTTCCATTTATTGAATTTAAAATATATGCTAGCCTCCCCAAATCAGTAGTGACTTGCCCCTGTACGTCATACTTTACCTTTAAGAACAGAGTCGTGCCGGTCATCTATCTAACTCCTTTAAGGGGATATTTTTGAAAAATTGAAATAACGTGACTTCCGGTTTGCATCGGAAGTTCGTACATAGTCGGCGACTCGCCTTTCATCTATCTAACTTCGTTCTCGAGATAAGGAAAAGACCGACAAAATTTGTAGTCTTCAGTTTTTTTTCTTATTGAGTCTTGTTCGCTTGTGCTATTATAATCACGTAGCTTAACAGTAAAGTAGAGACTGTTCATGATAGGTTAAAAAAATTTTTTAAAGGGGTCGATTCGACTGTCGGAAAAGTTTGCAGTATTTGAAATTTTTTGATTCATCGTGAATCGTGTACATTTATTGCATTAGTTAAGAAATATTCCTATTGTCTTAAATTCATCTAAATTGTAAGTAAGAAATATATAAATATTTCATGTTCGAATGCAGAGAAAATTTATGATAGAAGATTTTAATTAAAATAAAAGTTTCAAAGTCAGAAATCAATATTATGAGAAAATATTCAATTATTAAATATAGTAATTTTAACCTTCGATATATAATTTAAAAAATCGGTCTATACAAATTACACAATTCTGTCTTTTGTTATAACACAAAGTATTTAAATGAATTAAAGAAATTCTAATTAATTAAAGCGGCGCGAATTTCATATGGTATATACACCATAGCGGGAAATAACAATTTAATGTATTTATTGATTCCCATTTTGCTTTAACAATTACAAATATTTAACAATGCGATTGGATCTGGGCTTAACGAAAATTAACAATATAAACGGTGAAAAGTATGTCCCAAAATAAGCGGAAAGACCCCATTCGTCGTCTGTGTGACCAAAACCATCAATTGTTATCTAAATGGAGCTTTGTCGGAAAATCATTGCCACTAATTGCGATATTCGGCTAAACAATGTTCAAAAATACCTAAATTTAGAAAGTTCGTGGTTTGAACTTACCGATAAAATCGCTGCAAATAATGCAAAACTCAGGAAACGCTTGAAATAAATCACTTTCAAATCGCACGAACAGAAAACCAAACCGCTCGCTACAACAATAATCGACCGCTCGCAACAATTTGTCGGAGTTTTATTGTTGCGTCGCTACGAAATTTAATGTAAAAGGCTTGGATTTTTCACAGAATTTCCTGATTTTTGCGCCTCTCTGTCGCTGAAAAGACAAATTTTGGCACTTGTACAGTTTAGTGGGTACGGCTATTTGAGATGTTTACTTTCATAAAATTAACTAAATCTAGACTAATTTCACTCGAATATTTTCAATACACGTATAATTTGTTGAAATGATCAATATAAAATATGCTATAAACAAAAAATTGTCGGATTACTTACCGAGTGTACCCGTTCGAAGACGCCATTGCTTAAGCTTTGTGCTGCTCCGCGACGAAAACTTTTTCGTCCGCGTCCGCTTCCAATGTGTCACGTGACATGTGCCGGGACTATTCGGTCACGTGATTACTCACTCATCTCGGCTACGCCTCGCATCTCTGACATGTTTCCTGATAACTTCAGCTAATTCTTCCGCGAGAAGATTAAGTTATCGGCGCATACGCGCATAAGATACGCGGCGCATATTATCCTCACTACTACCCACCCCTGCGGCCGGATGGCCGAGCGGTCATGGTAGCAGCCTACTGCTCTGGGGGACCTGGATTCGATTCCGAACGGATCGAGAAATCCCCAGGAATTTTTCGGGGGTAGTCCGTTCGGATATGTCGGGCCCCGTCCCTCACCACTTGGCAGCCCTATTGTGAGCCTGGCCGAACCCATAATGGGCTTGCAAAAAGAGGCCCTCTTAGTACCCACAGGGCGGAAAGAGTTAAAAAAACCACCCACCCCGAACATCTCAAATGGTTGGAGGCTATGGAGATATTTAGAGCAGGACGCAACGCAACATGCATCAATTTTAAAGAAGAGATAGTCATTTGAACAGCATGGCAGATCCTGCTAGATGATAGTATTTAAAAGTTTACTTCGAAAGTATTACAGCACGCATGCGCTGTACACAAAACATCGCTCTTTTCTTTTTAAATCGACTCGAATGTTGCCGCGTGCGATGATTCGAATGATAAACGGCTCAAAAGAAAGTATTCGATTCTCAACGTTCGGCTTAGTATTTATAGAAAATCCCGAGGAAGAGCCCAGAAAGGGCATCGAAAACGTTTGCTGACATTTAACACAACCACTCCGGTTACAAGGTCAAAGGTAAGAGTTTTATTTTTATTACATTCCGGTGTGTGGAGACAAATAAGTAAATCAATTAACGATGAAAATAGCATTTTTTTTACACATTTAAAGGTTAAAATTCCAAATTTCCAATGATATTTTTTATATTAAGAATTTACATAAAACAAAATTATATTAACAGTAGTGTTACTGTAGATAAAGTACAGTATAAAAATCCTCAATACTTTTTTGATTTAAAAGGCATTTATTAGCCGCTTAATTTAGCAATTCTTTCGAATGCATCATCAACATCATCCGTGGTACGAATGCAATAACAAATATTTTCCTCTTATTGTCACTAGAAGCCTACCGTTGACTGTAACTTGTGTAAATAAAATTCCAAGATTTTCGCAGTCTTTAGAGTAATTTTATAATTTATTATTAATTAATGTTTTATTTTTTCAACTTAAATTAATTAAAGTAAAAAGAGTTCTAAAATAAAATAGAACACTGCTTGAAATTAAGTTGGCGGAGTTTGGGCGAATTGTGAAAATGTTTGATTGTCGTACGGCTACTTTTGACTACTTCGTTGGCGGGAAATGATAGCATGTAATTTCGTGGATGTATTGTCGTATCGACGAAACAAAGCCGAGATTTAATTTTTATTTCAAGTAAGTTTGATAATATTCAAAAAATTAAGGTAAGATTGCAGACGTGAATGACTCTGTTGGCCCCTTAACAGGGCCGTTAGAGCGTGTCCATAGCACGCTTAATCAAAGGAACCATTCTTGTAATGGCACTTGTGCAGTTTAGAGAGTACGGCTGTTTGAAAGGTTTTCGTCCATAAAATTAAACGATTCTAGACTAATTTGAATCGAACGGTAATTACAGTAATACCCGGAGTTACGCGATTTCAAATCTCGTCGATTCGTCTTTTGTTTGAGCGCTACGCAACTCTTGATTACTCACTCCCCCCATAATACTGTTCAGCTTACATGTTCGGACGTGTCGCGCGGAATCGACATATAGCTACAATTTATGTTGTGTTATTTATTTCTGTGTTTGTTATATCTACGGAGACTCGAGAGACTCTACTATGTCATCCAAACGAAGTAGAATTGATTCTTCTGCATCAAAGAAGAAAAGAAAAACTTTATCTTTGGAATGTAAAGTTAAAGACTTCGATACAAAAATGAAAATTTGTGAATTGGCATAGAAGTTTGATCTATCGGAATCGACGGTCAGAACAATTATAAAATGTAAAGAAAAAATCCTCGAAGCTGTAAAAAATGCTCAATCTTTAAATTCAAGCATCATTCGTAAATGTCACGGTATTATCCCTGAGATGGAAACAATGTTAAAATTATGGTGTGATAATCAAGTAAATGTGAAAAATTGTATAATAATATAATTTGTTATAGGCTACACATGTATTATCTAAGATTTTATTAATCATTTTTNTATTATCCCTGAGATGGAAACAATGTTAAAATTATGGTGTGATAATCAAGTAAATGTGAAAAATTGTATAATAATATAATTTGTTATAGGCTACACATGTATTATCTAAGATTTTATTTATCATTTTTTTCTAAATTATTGTTTTCTTTAGTCTTTAGCCCCAATTAAAAATTATTTGTATGTATTTATATGCGAAATTATACCCTGACTTACGCGGTTATCGCTCGGTCCCACCTATGGCATAAGTTTGGGGTATTACTGTATACTGTTCAGCTGATTTCTTAGTTTATTTTGAACAAAATTCATGTTCGAAAATGTCTGTTCGCAAAACTATGTCGATCCGAAAATCGATAGAAGTCCAAATGCATAAGTTTTTAATTGAATGTAAGTATCAGGCAAACTGTTCCAAGTATCAAAAGCAACTTGATCTTGCCTTTTAAGATTTTCTATCAGACCATTTATGATGTGAGGCAAAAGTAGATTTTTATCTCTCTAAATTTTCTAATTCACTTTTAAGATTTACAGATTTTGAATTCCACATTTCCTTGATTATTCCGTATTAATTAGAAAAAGAATAATAGTGATTTTCTATCAATGTAACAAATTAGAAAAATTCTTAAAACCTGTTGTGTATAATATATATATATATATATACATCTTATGCTCAAGAAAGCAAATAGATAACATTCTTTGGAAATAATATAATTGTAATAAACATACTTGATAAAACAGTAGAATAACTTCTATACAAAAGATATTCAATAGAGCACAAACTAAAAGCAGAAATTTGAATGATTGTCTCTTTAATCTGAGTAAATAAATAAATCTGGTAGACTTCCTACAGGTATCAGGTTAGGTACTCCTTTATTTCAATTTACAAATGCATTTTGGGCCTATCCAGTAGCTAAGCCCCTCCTCAGTGTAATGCTACAGATATTAAAAGGAACAAAAAGTTAGTAAATTCACAAATATTTATGTGCGAAGATGATCGTTACAGACAAAAATAATTTTTCACATACTTCAGAAGGCAGAACATTGCTTTTCAAATTATACCGGTACACTTAAATGGTACTCCTAGATATGTTTTTACATATAAAAACATGAGTGTATATCAGGTGACAATAGTACAAAGGTTCAGTAAAAATTAAGTTAAAATCAGTAGATATACACTTTTTACAAACTCACAGCACTATAGTAACAACATGACATTTTCTGACATATGACAATACCATGCAAGGTATTTTTTATTAAAACATGGCGTATACTTTAAAAACTATTGAAATAAGTGTAATAAAAGTAACAGTTTTACAAAGATAAGTAAATTTAACAATTATAAAAAACCATACATACATAATGTTTTCATTTCTATTATATCCACAGTATTAAGTTTGTCACTCACACACGACACAACCATTATACATTACTTATTCTAGTCACGTCCTCTATCATGTTATACCCCTGTTGGTCGATTTGCATACTGTTAGATAGATTCACTAAATTATCATTACTATAGTTTATTTCAATATGTTCCTTGAATTTACATTTATATGTTTCTTTTTCATAATGAAGTATTTTTATGTTGCTTCTGTCAATCTGACAATTACTATTACTTGTATAAATATAAATTCAATTATTAGAAAACAATGGGATCGGTATATATTAAAGCACTAAAAATGAAAATTTAATTAAAAAAAAAAAACAAGTAAAAATATACTCTCTCTATTTCTGACTTTGAGGATTCTATAGGTCAAAACTGACAAACAAGTGACAAGGAATAACTAGACTTTATCATTACCATTATTATTTTATTATTGATACAATCCAAATGCATTTCGTCATCACGCCTCTTCAGTGGATAATAGAGAGAGTATATTTTTACTTGTTTTTTTAACTAAAATTTTTATTTTTAGTTCAGTAGACTCCCTATAGTGCGGGTTCCTATAATGTGGATTCCTATAACGCAGCGAAAGAATTGTGATGGTATTTGTATAAAGACGCTAAAAAGGGACTTAAGACGCGGTAAAACGTCATCGCCGACTCGTGTCGCGACAGGATTGGTCGAATCTGGACCAATAGTAGACGAGCAGCCGAACTACTTACACACTATGGAGAGTTTAGGCAAGTAAGTTGAGTTTACTATCATCTGTACAGTATGTAAATTAGGTACCGTAAGTGTAATACAGCACTGTAATTTTATACATTTCTTGTGAAAGAAGCATTTCTTATTCAACGGCCATAAAAATTATTTCTATTAATGATGTCTCCAAAGTTCAAAGAATTTTTCGCAGAAAAATAACTTATCAGAAATTGTGGCAGTCGTTTAGTGTGCTGCTCTGCGACGAAAACAAGCTTAAGCAATGGGGACGTCAAACGGTGTACACTTGGTAAGTAATCCTACAATTTTTTGTTTATAGCATAGTTTATATGGATTATTCCCAAAAAATTATGTGTGTTTTGGAAATGTTGAGTCGAATTAGTCTAGAATTGATTAATTTTATGGAAGAAAACCTTTCAAACAGCCATAGTCCGTAAACTTCACATGTGTCGGGCTGTGATTGGCTCATGTATTTAAGGATTCCTACAATGTGAAATTCATATAAAGCGGAATGTATCTACCGCATTATAGGGGGGGTCTACTGTATTATTTCTATGTTTAAACCAAGGGGAATTATTGTATTTTAATTTTATAGCAGCCTCGTGTTCTTTAATTCTTAATTGCAATTGTCTACTTGTTTCACCTATATAATTTTTTGGGCTTTGACAATCACAACTGATTTTATAAACAACCCCCTAATTTTTTAAATTTTTCTACATTAGTCTTGTGTTTTATATTCGCGGAATGGATGTGTGAAATTTTGTTTGTTAGG